ATTTTATAAATAATATAAAATTTGTTTAATAGAGAATGGAATAGGGTGAGATGAGAATATGTTAGAAACATAAGATGGAGATAATTATAGTGGATCTTGAAAGTAGGATTGCTTAGGAGGATAGATGTTTATGTGTGAGATGTATAATTGAGAGAATGGATAAGAAGAGAATGAATTTGATAGATGAAACAAGGGATATGATAAAAGAAATGAAGATAAATGAATAGAATTAAGGGATTAAGGATAACAAGAAGAGATTAGATAATTTGAATGCAATTGAATAATTATTAAGGGAACTTAAATAAAATATGGATTATATATTTGATAAGATATTTAGTAATATTCAATAGAAATTGAGTTAGATATCCTAAGATATAAGTAAAATTGAAACATAATCAATTATATTTAATTTTTAAGATGATATTGAAAGATTATCTTAATATTAAGAATATTAAATTAATGAATAATCAATTAATTTAATTGAAAATGATCATCAATTTATAGAACAAATACAAAAATAATTAGAGTCTTTTATAAATTCTGAATAATATAATAAATTAATGAATAATTAGAATATTATAAGAAAATCTGAATTAAAAGAGGATTTAATTAATAATGAATAGAAATATGAAATGATAAAAACATAAGATTATGTATATTATTTAATATTTATAATGAATTAGAAAACACCTGCATTGAAAATGATTTGTTAAGAACATACAAAAGAGATTATAATGTTTAATTTGAATGGAAATTGTAATTCATAACCGAGAATGGCATGTGTTAAATGTATTTAATAATATCCTGCATAATATACTCCTTTAGAAGATGTTATTATTTAATGGGAATCATATCAAAAGAGAAATTAAAGTAATTTGAATGAATTATAAAATACAAGGAATTCTATTTAATAGAAAATACTAAAAATGATTTAAGAAGTTAAATTATAAAATGATCAAATATTTGATGAATTAATATAATCATTAATTAATTAAGAATAATCAATAGAATAGATGAATTAGAATGAAATGAATAATAAATCAATTTATTAATTAACATCCAATCAAATAAATGAAATAATCAATTAATTGAGTTAAATTGATAAATTCAAAACATAAAAAGATCATAAAATGAATATTGAAAAGATTGATTAAATATTCTATTCAGATTTAAGATCTAGATTTGAACATTTAATTCAATATTAATAAATAAATGTTTAAAGATTCAATTAATTTCTGATTAATGATAATAAAGTGATTAATGAAATTCATAATTTATCATAATCAACATAAGATGATTAATAAGAATCTAATCAATTAAATTAAATAATAGAATAAATTAGATAATTTATGTAGAAATCCTTTGATTTTCAATTTTCATAAAAGGTATTTGTTTAAACTATTGATTAATACATAAATATCAAAGAAGGTATGTAGAATTTATAATAGATTTTAAGTAATAAAATAGAAAAATC